GATGCTGTTCACCTACCAGTGGTTATTCAGTCCACAGGACTGCAGTACAACTGGCATGAAGTAAAAGCCCTTGGAACACACAGGATTGTCAGCACTGGCTCCTCAGTGCCAGCTGCTTTGTTCTACAGATCTGCCACTGCTGTGTCACAGCACCTGCCAAGGTGCCTCTCTGCATTTGGCTCCATCTGGAGTTTTTTCTCAGTGCAAGGTATAGATTGCTTTAGAAAAAGCTGGTCTGTCTGAAAAGCAAATCCTCTGTCTTCAGCATTAAGTATTCACATATCCCAGAAGAAAACATCAGGGAAACTACTTTTTCTGCTACTTTTTTTGACTTTTATTTTAGACATCAGTGCTGTGCAGATACAAAGTCACTGACAGCATGATGTCCTTTTGAATCTGTCACTCAGTAAATGTTTTGGCACTCCAGTAAGACACTGCTGCCTTATGGACTAGCAGCTCTCCAGAACCACAGAGAAATCAGATTTTAGATGACTGAGCCTATTACATACCATGTCCAAGTGTGAAAGAGAAATGAGCATACCTTGGTGCATCACACAAAAAATTTCACACTTGTAAGAATATTGCCAGAACTGGCCTAACAATAGTACACTTAATGTTAATAATAATAGAAAATGTACAGTTATAAAGTTGCAATTTGTTCAAAATTTAAAAAACCTTAAAAAAACCCACAAACTAAAATCTGGTCTATATTAAAAGAAAAAAATCTATTCTGATGAATTATTTTAAAGCAAACTTATTAATTCAAACTCCTAATTATTTACATATTCTAATATACTCTATATTACAGTCCTAAAAATGTGTTTTTGCATAAAGTGCTGGATGATTCTTACATTCTACAACTAAAGAAATTGATTTTGGTATCAAACAAGAAAAGGGAATATGCTCAGGATAAAATAAAATATTATCCAATGAACAACATATACAGGAACACATTTGAATTTTTATCACAGAAAACTTACATCTAGTAACGTGTGAAGATGCTGATCCTGGAAAACACTGTGAAGAAAATCTAAGTCTTTTTCACTGCAGTCTGTAAGTGCATGAATTTCTTCCAGGCTATCCAGCACCTGTGAGACTGCTCCTATGGGGCAACAGACAGAGGGGAAAAAAAAGAGAAAAAAAATCAATAAAGCAAAGGCTCATGGTAAACTGAACTTTGGAAAAAAAACCTTTCAATTCATCTGGTACAACTGGGATATGAGCTTAAAAAAGCTGTATTTTTAACAGGAAAACTCACTGAATAAATTTTACATATATCAAAAGTACTCACAGATAATGTAATTACACATAAGAAATGGCTTAATGGGAGAGAGGTTAAAACCTGATTTTATTAAGCTAAACTTTATTCTATTTTAGCCTTGCTTCCAACGATGTCTTATGGAGCAACTTGGATTATTGGCCTGTCCTCACCATTCCCACCCCAAGCTTCACTTCTCTTTCTGAACTGTCAGACAATTTCAAATGCATACTGTAAAACTGTAAAACATCAGTAATAATTATTTTGAAATCAAATCCAAAACATTGGTAAAATCAGGAAGAACCAATACTTTCACAAATATTTTAAAAACCAGCATCGGGATAAAGGAGGGAAGAGGGAGAAACACCTGACTGCTGAATGTTCTGGGGGACAAAAAAGGTTGCAATATGTTTTTGTTCTGTTTGTTCGGTTCTCTCCTGCCCAGCTATTACACTTGATGCTTTTTCACCAGGGCATTGTTTTGGGACATAGGATGATGGGGATGATTTTTATATGGAATGGGGTTGGGAGAGAAGCAAGAGCTATGGAGACATAAAGGAGAAATGGGAGGCACTGTGGAAGGTGGAAGTCCATGAGGAAAAGCTGAACTCTCAGCAGGAGAGGACAAAGAAACACAACACAAATCCACAGTAAACCACCCCACAGTGGTTCTTTGTGAAACAACTTGTTTAAAAATCAGAGTATCAGTGGTGGCTGCCACCTGTGTGCTTTACTAGAATGCCAACTTTGGCTTATCTCAACACCCTTGAGATGTCTTCATGTTCTCATGTCTTCACTTTTTGCACTGTGGTAAAAGCATCTGGCAAGAAGGCAGCATATCCAGTGAGAGTCTGCAGCAATGCTGTGGTCTGGCAGTGAACTAATGAATACTTTTTCATAAATAAATTCTTAATTCTGGATATCGAATTCTACACATTTTCTATTTCACTTATTTCTCATCAATATGCTTATTCTGTTCATTTATACATTTGCCTGTGTATTTTTCACAAGATAGGTAACATCTAAAAAATTGCTGCATTCCTTGAAATTCTATCTTCTATTGCATGAACAATTTTTACCAGCCTTCCTTAACTCAAACCCATTTGTACTGCATTTTCAGAATTTAATAAAAACAATATATCAAACTGGCTCTTAACCACACAAGGAAAGAAGTTAACTCATTTCTCTGAAAATTTTGAAAAAGGAATAAACCCAACAAAATACACAAAAACTACTATACAAGACTTGCAACCTCATGGCTTAGGAGGAGAAATAAATTACAAATCTAGAAACTCTTGCATCACATTCAGTACAAACCTCAGCCTAGGATTCTGCTCACAGTTCTCTATACAAGGTTTGAGAATCACAATATCCACCCCCCCCCGCCCCCAGCTCCTGTCTCAGGAGCAATAAAACTTCTTAATCCTCTCCCATCAAGTGTGTCTGACTACTTACACCTATTTGATGTAATAATTTATGTTCTTTTAAGAATCTGGGGCTGTCAGCAAGTAAAACAACTGTTAGTAGTTGCTGTGCATGAGGTCGGGTGCTCTGAAAAAAAGAAGTCTGCTTCCTCTTTGATAATGAACAAGGCTGCTCAGCTGAAAGGAACCATCCACATCCCTCTGCCAGAGACACAGCAGGAAACCTGAAAAAATATAAGGGCTGGGGATCTGCTGGTAGGAGGATGGAGAGATCACAGCTAAGCCTCAAAGGCAAGGAAAAAAACCTACCCAGGGACCCCAAAAAGACTGCACTGTTTCCTTTACATGTTCAGCACATCAGTTAAAAGGCTGATGGACTCAGAGATCTCCAAGCCTGAAGGAAAGTGTTTGACTTTCCAGGATCCAGTTGGTAGAAGAAAATTTGTTAAAATTCTGTTTCTGCACTTTTCATGCTCAGAGTTTGAATTATTTTATTTTCGAGCAAAGCTTCTTTTTCTTGGCTCAAAGCCCTGTCTGTATATTTGGGGTATTAAGGAAAACTCAAAAGAAGATTCACCTCAGAGGTATGGGAATCTTAAGAGTCTCTAGTACTGCTCAGTGTGGCCCATAATCACCAAAACCTGAGCCAAATCTGGAACCAGTAAAGAAATGTGTTCAAAGTTGCCTGCAGTGCTGTGTTATTGTGAAACACCAAATGCTCTGGAACACCACATTCCTTATTTGACAATATTATTTCCTTTGCAAACTTTGTTTTGTGGAACACTTTGAGGGCTTTGGAATGGAAATGGAAGTTATGATTTTTCAATATTTACATCTCAACAACCTCTTGAATATTTGGGAATAAAAAAAAAATAGGGTTATTAGGGTTTGATCATCAGGTGTTTTTTTCCTTTTGTTCATTGGTCACATTGAATAGAAGGCTGTAAATAAAGTTTCCAAGAACATCCTTAAGAAATCTGATGGGACTTTCTGACAGTGACTTTTTTAATCTCTCAAATGACAGTTTTTACCTTATGTTTTTTTTACTTATAATCTTATGCTTTACCTCACTCATTTACAAATAATGTGCACCTGCATGAGAAAATGGCATAGCAGCAATATACTGACAGCATATTAGTGCTTAAAAAATGGTGACAGAACAATTTTACAGACATTTTTGTGAATACCTACACTCTGTTACAGACATCTGTTAAAATGTCTAGAAGTTCCTTTCAGAAGAGTTTTAAACTCAGGGAAGAGATACTACACAAAATAAAGTTAACCAACCTTTATAGCACACCTGTTTCTAAAAGGATTCATATTCAAGCTAAATTTCTAACCTTTGGGGAAAGTGTAAAGGCACTCAATATTTATAATTAAAGCTTATATCCTCTTGAAATAGGATTTAACCTCTTTTCAACATTGCAAGTGCACCCATTTTAGCCTCAGCACAGATGATAAAGGACTTAAGTAAATTATTACAGTCATGCAAGCTAAAATCTCAGACTTCTCATGGTCTGTAACAGTTACAGACAGAATCTAGAAACATGAAAATTGAAGCATAAGAATGATGCAGGAAAAATCAGGAAGTTGACTAACTTGACTGGCTGTGTTAATTTGTTTTTTAAGACTCCATAAAGTAAACTTTGTTAGAAAATGCTGCTCACTGCCCCAGAATTTTCAAGTAGCCCCGGCTTTTGGATGAGACGAACCTCACCCTGCACCTTAAGTTAGTATAAAACCAGATCCAATTGCACAAGGAAAGGCTGCAATTCAAGTGATATAAATAGAAGACTCTTCTCTGCAGAAACAGTAATAAAATCCACACCAAACATGGTTCTGTGAGAAGACTGCAGATCCTCCTGTAAATGCACAGCAAATGACCTCCGTGTCAAAAGGAGAAGTGACACTCTGGGCCATGCACACAACCTTGTCTTCCCTGTACTCCCATAAGGATACCTAAGAAAGGATGGCTGCAGCTATTCAGAGTTTTCTGGGGACTGCCAACTGTGAAAAGTTGAAAACTAGGAGCTGTCATATTTATATATGAGGAAAAATCACATTAGAATGCTTATGACAGTCTCCTGCAGTCACCACTAGTGCATAAAATACTTTAATAGTTAGTGGAATGACTTCTTAAGGATGACACCCAATTACTTCTGAGAAGATAGAGATGAATTGAGCATTTTTCTGCCTACTGAGGCAGATCTGTTATTTATCAGAGACACGTATTTGCTTTGTGAGGCAGAAACTTGGGATTTTCTCTTCACGTAGTGCACAGTCAAAGTCACCACAGGTATCTTGTGCAAGTTCAGTTACCTCATTTTTGGAGATGGCCAGTCAGAAATAGTTTTCTCTTACAGCTGAATTCTGTCTCTAGGGTATTTGTAGTTCTCATACAGTGCATCTGAAGTTGCTATGGACACTGGTTCATCAGCTGGAAGCAGGCAAAGCTTTGGTAAAATAGTGTTGTTACTACAACATCCAGCTATTTTAGTCTGGAAAAGGTGGTATGAACTTTAAAGGTAGAGAGGATGTGCTTACTTCTCCCCAGAACAGAGTAAAAGAGAATTTTAAGTACTATTCCAAAAATTACCTACATATTCTCCAGTAGTCATGTGTGCCCCCAGCACAAAACATCCCAAAATTTGCTTTTCTGAGGTTTCTCAGCACACCAGAGAGGTGTAACTGGCTCCCTCTGTTATGCAACAGGCAGTGAACAAAAATAGGAGCCTCTTTCCATGTGACAGATGATCTGCAACACTGTGCAATTGAATAAAGTGTTTAAGTAAAGAAACAGACATTGCTACAAAGCACAGACTACATCCTAACTGCAAACACATTCTGACAGAGGGCAAAAGAACTCCTTGATTTATTTTTTAACATTGAAAATTACAAATGCTCATTTAAGTCTTGGGTCAGTCATAAACCCGCTTGAGTAATGAAAACCCAGAACTCAGGATGCCTGATATTGTTTAAACACAAAACTATAAACACCTTTTTGCCAGTCTCCTGCAATTACTATGCCAGGCAATAACTCTGTACAAAAACTTATGATGACCATTATAATAATATTATGTTTTTATGAAAGAGACATTGGCAAAATCTAAATCTCTCAGATTTGTAGAACCACATAAAATGAAGTTCATGACACCAGCCACTCATTTGTATCCTGTTCATTCTTATAAACTACCTTTATTTATTTGGCTTTTCAACTATTCTTTATGTTGTGTAAATAGGTAAGTAACTGTGTCTTGAAGATTTTACAGTGGTATTTAAATAACTAAGCAAGACTTTGCTGTAATTTGCAATTTCTCTGTGTATCACAGTTCTGTCCTTATGCCATCCAATCCACAATAAACAGAAGCTGATTTCTCTCAGCCCCATTTCTTGGCTGCCTTCTCATGGGCAGCTGCTGGAAATGAAACTAAAAGACCAGTCCTGGCTCTTAAAGCACAGGCATTTCAGAAGGCAGGATTTACATTTTACTTTGTTTGTGAGGAAGTCTGAGGGTAGTACATCCAGCAAGGAATGACAAAAAATCATCAGAAACTGTCAAATTTTAGAGATCAAATATTAGAATCACAAAATGAAGTCATAGGATATAATCTCACAAAAAAAAAAAAAAAAAAAAAAAAAAAAAAAAAAATCAAGCATGGGCATTATTATAAAGTGCAAACCTTTCCACTACTTTCACTGATGTAACTTCTCAGATTTAGAGAAAGTCAGCTGAGCACCAGCTGCACTTCATCACTTGCAACAGCATCTGCAAAAATCACTGGAGTTGAGATGGCTCTGATCTCACACAGTGATTTGGGGCTCTTTGCTGCTCACTGTATTCCAGAGCAACTGACTGCAGGATCAGATGACAGCCAAAGCAGGTGCATACATGTATATGACTAGAATAGTTTAAAGTAAGGTGGCAGATACATGTTTTATATATACACAGCATTGTAATTAAAATTTAAGGCAAGTAAAGGCTCTGTCCTGCTCAGATGTGAGCTATATTGTGTTTCATGACTTCTTCCTTCTTGGACTGAAATCAAACAGTAAAGTTTAGACATCCTATATATTTACAAATAGTCTCAGACATGAACACAGTTCTGTGAATGCTACTGGGAAGCAAATAAGGCAGTGCTAATACAAATGTATGTATATACATACACTGTATGTATATAAAACAATCAGGAAGAGTGTAGTAAGAGAGCTGGAAAGATGGAGGATTATGGAGATGACAAAAATGATTCAGAAAGAAGACTGCTGGTGTAATGGAAGGGTATTGGGATTTACAACTACATTAAAGATGGTAAGAATATTTAAAGAATACAAGAAAAGAGAGAAAGGCATGTAGAAGTAGAAAAATAAACTAAAGGAAATAGGTGCAGGACAGAAAAACAGGAAGAAAGGGACTAAACAAGGGGAAAAAAGAAAATAAAGAAAAAAAAAGAAAAATAAAGAAAAAAGTAAACAAGAGATTAAGTGTTTCCAAACAGCAGAAGGAATATATAGGAAAGTACTATACATGGAAAACAACAAAGGATGGGGGGGAAGAGGAAATGGTTGGGGGGCGGGGGGGTCAAAGGGCAGCAAGAAACTGATGCTTAATTTTGAAGAGAGACTTTTTTCATCTTGCACACACACAGGGGCACTGGAGTGTAGGCATGGCTCCACACAAAAGAGTTTGTTAACTCTTTTTCCCAGCTACCCCTCACTGAAAATCCAGCCACAGATATGAGAGAAGCCAGTCTAAAGTGGTGCTGAAGAAACATGCAGAAATTTTTCAGACTAAACCTGTAGCTTACATGTAGGTGCATTCACATGTAACTAAACAAATAAATCTTTTAATAGATGAATGCCCTTCACTATCCCTGCCTCAGATCCTTCCTCATTGCAAAAATGTCTAAAAACCCCTTCTGACCAGCATGACAGCAGCACCCCCTTATAGTCAGTTTGTGGAAGAAAAGTCTCTGTACAAACAAAAACCCAAAAATCATGGCACAGGTTCTGTATGTTTTGTTTCTTCCTTCCCCCCCCTACAACTGCTTAAAAATAATGCTATCACAAAACTTTTATAAAAAAAATCCATTGACAGAAGAAGAACTGTTAATCTATAAGTCTTAAAATGTTACAGGAAACCCCCACTTTCTATAGCTTGTTTTTGGGGAATTAGTTTTGCTGAATTAGTTGTTTTTGCAATGGTTGTGGTTTGTATCAAAGGGTCTGAAATTTCACAGCTTCTCCTCTGCCTAGTATAGTCTGCAGGTTTTAGAAGTGCTTGTGCTCCCAGTTTCTCACGAAGTGTGCAGCTACTTTGCAGCAGAACCTCTTCACTACATGCCAACAACATTCCTTCACTGAGGAGACACATTTTGGAGAGTTATTGAATCAGGTGTATGCATATCCACATGCATATGCATAGATCAGGTGCCACAGCAACACAGAAGGATCAAGAAAGTTCATGCAAGCATAGAGCAAGAATATAATATTTGACTAATATTACATTATATGTTTGGTGGTAGGAAGAAAATAAACCACATCAGTCTATGAAAACAATTTCTGAATGAAAATGCAAAACCAAAATATACTTTATTAATTCAACGAAAATTAAATTTTAGTTGATTTGTGTTGCATATATTAAATATTGGGGGGAAAAAACCCCAAAACTCAGGTAATTTTAATACTGCCTCTAAATTAGAATCCTCAGAATTCCCTGGAAATCATCCTTCTGCTTAATTATTCTGTTAATTATATATTACACTGTAGACAGATTTAGTCAATATCATATAATTTTATCTGAACAGGCAGTATTAAAACTGAAAAGAGCAAAGAGAAGCAAAAGAAAGCAGATTTTTAAACATGCAAAGACACACACCATAGCTGACTGATATGCCTTAAAGGAAAACAAAGGGATACCTACTTTCTGCTGCTAGAAGTCCTAGAAGGAAGGCAGCGTTTGGACAAACAACAAACAGTATGAAGATTTCAGAACAAGCCATTTATAAAGCTGCAACCTAGCAGACTAATTTAGCCACAAAATCGTCTCAACAAAGTGACAAGGATCCCCCCACTTTTAAATATGATTTTTCTATGTGTGAAGCAAATGGCACTGGCAGACTGGGATGGGAGGAAAACAAACATTTGGTATTGGGAAGGCAGCACATGGATGCAGTGTTAGAGATCTATTAATACCAGATTTTCCCCAACATTGGTTAAACTATTTTAAAAAACTCATAGACAAAAAGTGATTTTTAGTAAAAATATTTAAGAGTTGAAATGATAAAATAATTCAACATACTGCAAATGATGCATAACATATTAATATATTTAGTAAGCAAAATTTAGCAATGTTATATTGAAATAAAAGTTTCAGTGAGAAATGTTATGTGAACCACTTAGAAATACAACCACTTCATTACTGCTTTTAATTAATGTGTCTTTATGCCCTTTTTATTAAATTAAATATATCAGAGCAAAGAACCAACAGCTGAAAAATTACGAAGTTAATAATGGAATGTTGGAAACACACAAACCTCATGGTCTCAAAACTCATAGCTGTGCTTGTAATACTAGTGAAGAAATTAATAACAATTATATAAGGTGAATGCAGTTGTTTTTTTTAACCAAGCATTCATATTTTAAAATGTTACACAACACCCGTTGTAAATACTTACACAATCAGTGGTAATTTTTGCATTACAAAAATAGATTTTTTTTCTTACTTATGTTGATGAAACTGATGGGTTTTAAGATATGGGCTTGCATTGACAATATTTCATTAATTCTAAATTCCATAAAACAACTAATCATTCTAACTTGTGAGTTCAGCTACTTCCATGTATGTTGGAGACAGTGAGCTCACAACTTGTCTGTATCTACGCTGTTTGACCCTACTCTGAAAGACTAAGAGATTTAGCTTTATTCCCATTTTTATTATCAAATTTGAAAATCAAGACCTCATGCTGTTAAAAACTTCTTGTTTAACATGACAACAGAGAGTCTGACAAAATAGAACAGGATGAAAATTTCAATTTGCACACATCAATCCTGAGACAAAATACCAAAAAGCATTTGCAGAAATGCTGTGTGTGGAGAAAACGGAGGCAGATGCACTGAAGGAGGTCCAGTGTGGCTGCTCAGTGTGCAGTGCCAAACTCTGCTTCTGTTTATCTGCTTCCAGAGTGACCACAGAGCCCCACTCACACGAAGGCAGGAAGCACTGCAGCAGTGCCACTGCTCAGCACAGGTGCAGGAGCACATTTGGCCACTCAGGCTCTTGCTCTGAGGTTACCCCAAAACACAGCTTGAGGATCCCTTACAGGAATCCAGAACTGTCTGTGGCAAAAAGCTGCTCTGAAACCTCTTAGTCACAGTTCAGAAATGTGTACCCACAGACCAAGCAATTCCAGCAGACATCAGAGGGTAACAGCCTTGAACCAAAAGTTAAGGGTTGCTTTAATTAAAGTCAGTTATGCAATTTTACAAACACTATGGACTATCCACTAGCTTAACTCCAGCACTGACTTGGTTCTGAAAATGTGGATACAAAAAGCTTTTGGAAACATAAAGTTTATAAAAAACCTCTTCAATTTATCAGTTTTTCTAACTGTTGGCCTGAAAATATAACCATTTTGAATCTACTTAACACCCCATATGAAACAGTCGTCCTCAATTCAGCTTCTCAAGTCAAACCCCAAGAACCAAAAGGAGGAAAAATTAAAAGCTTTCCACTGGTGCTGTTCATTCCCCAGCCTGAGGCACTGTTATGAAAACACTTGAAAACTGTATGTCTGTACATTCTCCTGGGGGACAAGTAGCCAGCATATGTCAGAAGGAGAGGAAAGCCTCTCTAAGCTGATGTGCAATCAGGAGGTAGGAGGGCCAGGCACTGGGCAGGAGAAAGGAGGGAGGCAGATGGGGAAGGACAGCAGAGAGCAAAAGCTTTGAATGTCCCTGGCACTTATGTATTTCATGGTCCACTTCAAATACTTCCTACTGGACCATTTTTCTCCTTAGCCTTCAGGGCTGCTGATTGCTAACTTCTGATTTATGTTTGTTTCAGCATATTAAAAATATCCAAAACATTTGTTGCCTTGGGGAATACACATTTTAGAATTCTAGAGAAGACTATTTGCAGAAAGCTTGTCAGCTGAGCTGCTTGGTGGCTTTACTGGAGAAGCTACTAGCACAGGCTGTCAGCGATAAAACAGCATTGCAGTTTAAAAGTATTTTAAAAAGTTTAATCACACTCAAAATTCAGCAAGACTGGTTTCTGCCATGTTGCCAACAGGATGACAGCAGGATTAATTCAAGTTTTTCAGAGGATGGTTGCTGACAAAAGAGGAAACAAACCACCCACTGGTCAGCAAGTAGTTGGAACCAAGAGTTGTTAATACTGTACAAAGAAAAGGAAGATGTGTACAGAAAAAAACCTGGTTGACCTTAAATGAAATTTATCTCTGTTCATTTCCATCTAATTTAGCTAAGGAATTTTCTGACTTTCACTGTAAAACTCTCTAACAAGAATATCCTTTGCTTCTGCATCTACAAAAGTCATCTGACTTGCTGTCTGCAGTGCCTTCCTATCCTGGGATAATACTCTGGTAGCACAGAAGATGTTCCAAAGTTCCAGCAACCCCAGGTTTCCACACTGAATTTTGAGGAAGAACACCTCTAGACTAATTGGGTAAAAAGAGAGAATTGAAATTTTCTGTTTCTGTGTTTGGAAAACCAGGAAATGTGCTATGCATAACCTAATAAGCACCTATATTTCTGTAAATCTATCTCTGTAGGAGTTCTGTATTTCCCTGTTTCTGACAAACCATTTAATTACAGTGATAGGCTCCATGAAATTTTATGGGAGGAATAACCACATCTAAAATATTAAATGCTCTTCATTAAGAGTTTATGATCTGGAATAACATTATGAGCTATTAGGAAGGAAACTTAAATAACCTTAAGATAATCAAGTTTCTACTGCAATTCTTGAGTTTTAATTTCTCCAAACTAGTTTGGTTTAGAATCATCTCAAGACCCATCCTACAAGCTAGAAGTATTTGAAAAAACTGTTAGTGTACTTCTGAAGATGAAACAAAATAGATTTTGATATCTAGGAATTTCAGATGAAATGTTATAAACTCTGAAAGAGAAAGCTGAAAGAGTTGTAGAGTCTTTTCTTGCAAGGCTTAGTGTTCAATATTAAATATTTTGTCAGCTAAAGTAGTGGGTCAGAGTAACAGAAAGAAAACTACCCACTTAGCATGGTTTCCTGATCACTGTGATCCCCCATCAGTTTGATCAACAATGTCAGGTTAGGGAATAACTTTGCTTTCCTGAGAATTCCATGCTTTTGTTCCAGTTATTTCAGAGATGAACACAAGCTAACAATGGATCCAACACAGATATTCTGTACGGTTTAAATGTGCACTGGGTTCAAGTATTCTATGAGCAGAAAAAAATAGAACCTGGAACTTTCCTGTATAGTGCTATTTGCAATTACATCACTCTGAGGAAGACACATGTCCTGTTGATGTGAGACTGAAACTGGAAAGCAGAACTGCTGTTTCCAGATTAGGAAAGTTACCACTGCCAGTCATGCTGGTGGCCATTCACCACTGAAATGGGGGAAGTAGATGGAAACAAAAATTAAGGCACTGCAAGGGTTCTAGGTGAAGTAAAACTGACTTATTCTTTCTTTTAAAGAATAGGTGGATCCTTAACTGCAAGTACAAGTATCCAAAAACTGTGTGGCTGAACTTAAGCCATGAGGCTTTGATTACCCATTTGCAATAAATGATCTGAGATTCTCATTCATTTCTATGGGAATTATGAATGGTGCTCAGGTCTAAAGACAAAGCAATCTTTTAATTTTAGTACTCAAAGTTGGATTCCAAGAAGTGAAATTGGAGAATTTCAACCACTTAAAGTTGCCCCCATTCCTATGGGGCATATAATTCTTATATTAATGACATTGAAATAATTTATAATTACTGGCATATATGAAAGAGAAGGAAAGAAATAATTAATATATGCAGTCAGCACATAATTTTCTCACCTACAAAAATACTGGGACAGAGAATTATCACACAGCAGATCAACATAAGCAATTAAGTTCCTGAAATGTCTTCTAAAAAAGTTAAAATGTTCTGCCAGTACCTCCTAAATAGTTTAGAAAAATTTGTCTTAGATTTTTCTTAAAGGTTCATTTAAATTGATCCTAAATCCTAATTTTAGGTCAGACAAACCGACCCAGACTTTTGCACTGCAAATATTCTGAGCAATGTTACATCAAAATTAAGGTCCATAATGAAGACAGGGCTGTTTAGGGACTGACAGGTTATTAAAATTTCTGAATATGGGCTATGGACAAAAGGATTGCTTGGTAAGGTCACTGTCCTGTCCAAGGCCTAGATCACAGCACAAGTATTATCTTCTCCTCTGAGGTATGCTGGGAGGTCCCTGAGTACATGTATTGTCTCTGAAGATCTGGGGGTCAGAAATACTGTCAAGTGTGCTTTAAACAGGACACATCTTAATCATATTGTTCTCTGAAACAGAAGGTCAGGAAACTTTGGTACATAATAGTTTCTTTTTGTAAATAACTATTAATAAGGTGTTAAGAGCTTTGCTCCTGCCTAAGAATTCAAGACAAAATTTCAATAAGCTTTTATACTCAAATAATATAAAGAGAAATGTGAGATTATAACATTATTTGCAATTAAATGTACATTAAAAATAAACAATTCAGACAGAATATCTGTAGAAGCTTAAAACTGTGCCAAGATTTTATCTTCATTTCTGCCAGCTACAAATGCCATTGTGACTGAAAATTATCCTTTCACATGTAAATGTTAATTTAATATTCAATTTTATGGAATCTCAAGAAATTAATAAATACTTGGTACTCCGGTCAGGATGGACTTAAGACATGTTGATTGCAATAAATACAGTTTCTGTTAAAATACCTGAGGAGGTGGGGTCTTCAGAGAAGTCTGGCAGCTCTTCAGGGGGGTCACCATAGAAGGAGTTGAATTTGTGGCTTGACACAGCTGCTAGTACTGCCCCCTGAATGAAAATACCCACAGAGTCTCAATTACACAAAGCAGGATAATGAAACATTTCCAGAGCCCTTGGGCCACTCAGTTCTCCTGAGGTCTCTTGTGTGTTGACCTTTTCAGTGAAGAGCAAATATATTTTATAGTCTTCAGCTCTGCTTCCCTTTTATCAGTGACCATATCTAACAAAAAAGCTGATCATACACTAATAAACAGTAAAAATATTCTTTGCAAGGGGATTAATCAGAACAGTTCTTTATGTGAATGCATTCTGAAATAACTATGAGGCATAAATTCATATTGTAGTACAATGTAAACCAAATAACTGACCTCTTTATCTTTTCCTCTTACCTAGACTGAGTGGATTAGCAGGAATAAAAATGCACTCTTTAAAGCAAAAAAATATGTTTTTATTTTAGAAATTGTCATAATTTGACACTGTCAGCACTAGAATACTTTAACACCCATAATGCATCAATATAAAAATAACACAATTATTCAGAATCACAGAGTTCCACAATGAGCATTACAGGGGAATTTATAAACCCAGAAAAATAGTTACCTCCTCTGACATATATTTACTTGTTCAAGTAAATGACACTTTAACCACTCAGGTTTTAATGTTGCACAGTTATTGAAGTATGATGAATTTCATGAAACATACTGCAGAACAGTGCTTTGGATAAAATGGCACAAAAAAATAATGAAGGTACAAAAGCTCAAGAAACTAAATATGTGGCCTCCCCAGGAAGAAATCCAGGAAATATCTGAAATTGCACCTAGAACAGGAATCAGGTAATATTCTAAATGTACCTGATAGCATTTTAATGGAAATGTTACCAGGGCATACAAACCACCTAAGAGAAAGAGCTGCTCATGAACTGTGGCAGCTGTGCATCTTCATCATCAGCAACATGAAACTTCTGCAAAGCAGCAGCTCAGTGTAAATACCTGATTCTGAGTTTTATTAGAAATTGTAAAACAGCCCATGAACTGTAATGCTCCATGTTTCTGCCATAATTTTCTGAACCTTTCAGTGAATTCAGAAATGTTTCTGTTAAGCATTCCATGACAAGAACAGAAAGAAAACCATGTTGTTTTGGGCTAAAATATTGACATTCTTTTCAATACAGCTAAGAAATAAACTAGTATGTAGTTAAACATAAATAGGACAAAGTGAAGAATACATATTTGCTCTTCTTTAACAAAGACATTAAAAATTACTATTATTAGTTCATTTTATTATAAACACAACACAATAATAATAAACGATTGCACAATTCTCTCCAGTAATTCATACTACACAGAATTACTGAATTTATTGAAGAGGAAGACCTCATATACACTTGGTTGATACCAGACAATTTGCACTGAAATTTGAAAACTATGCACTAAGAAAGAAAGAAAGAAAGAAAGGACAAACAGCCTTTCTAAGACATTATTTCAATAAACGTCTGTGAAGGCCTGCTGTAACTTTTTATTGTATTGTGGACTTCAAAGCATGGGATTTCTCTTAGCACTTTTTAAATGAATCAAGTATCACACAAAATGCAAGCTGTGTAATTATATTGTTTTAACACTACATTCAGTTTACCTTTAGTTTTCGTCTTGCATTGAATTTTCTCAACTGTTCTACTGTTTCTGGAAGATGAATCTTGTATGCATAGCGATCTCTCTCCTTGAAAAACCCCACAAAAAAACAAACCAAAAGAACATTAAATACAAGCTTTTAATATCCTCTTGACACTAAGAAACCAGACAAGAAAAGTAACAGCTTATAAATATCCTAAGGACAATGAGGAGTTGTTGCAACTTAAGGAAAACTTCCAGAAATTAAGAGGGATTAAAGTACTTGGACAGAATTCCTAATCTGGCCCAAGGATATTTTCTTTTTGTAATTGTTTCCCACCTTGTAGTAAGACCCCAGTCTTTTGTTTTACTGTTGTGCTGTCAGTCTGTGTCTAGCACTGAACTTTGAAGCAGAAAGTAGTTCTGGTTTTTGGAATTCACAAACCTCAGTGAAGGAACATGCTCAAGCATTCTTTAACAGGGTGCTGGATACTTCAGGTGAGTTTGGGAGGTGGGGTACATGTCCAACAGGGCAGGAAGTGCCAACCCAATGCCAGCCAGGGGATAGTACAGAAAGAATTCTTCATTGTAGGTGCAGATGAAAAATGTGCCAATGAACAATTGCAGCAACAGAAGGGACAAAACTTGCAGCAGCCATCTACCTTTTCCCCCTGAAGCTATATAAAATCATTAATATAATGTGTTTATCACATTCCTCTCCTGAATCAGAGTGAAACCACAGCAGTCCCTCTATGGCACTAAAGATGTCTCTGTCTCATGCTGTATTTACTCCTGTCTATAAATGGTTTAGAAAGCTCTGAGTCAGCAGAGAGGGCAGTTTATTGTAGGCAAAAATGAGAGGAATGACTGGTAGAATGCCTGGCAAACAAAGCTGTCATAAACTAAACCATGTGACTTCCAACAAATAACAACATGACCAGAAAGAGACCACAGACACCAAAAGTGCAAAGCTGCATAGACAGAGTTTGCACATGCACATTAGAGAATTGTCCTTTTAATAAACCTAATTAGCTCAGTTGCTCAAACAATAAAAAATTACAGGTTTTCTGCCAAAATGAACCTCAACCAAGCTTTAGCATCTCAAAGTAGGTATGCTCTCAAAGTAAAAAAGTCCAATTACAAGCAGGTAAAACCAGATCACCTGTGTTTGTATGGCATTCGTGTTCATTTCCATACCCTTTGATATTTGATACACTACATATATCCCAGACCAACAGACACAACATTGGCTCTTTTTGAATATAATGGTTTGAACCTGAAGTTTCCCAACACACAGAAGAGCTGTCTAGATTCTTAACCACTGCCATTTCTGAGAGGTGAACACACTTCTGACCTCTTCTGATAAGTTAGGCAATTCTCCAGCTTGGAATACGAGAGTCAGAGGCAGGAAGAGAGCAGAGAAACAGAAGAGTGACTCCATTCACAGGTGGTTACACCATTTTTACTTGGAGAGAGAAAAGCATATGATCCTGTTCTTCCTAGGTTCTTTCTTTGTGGTTCTTTGTGGGTTTCTCTTTGTCTAATGTAGAGCATAAAGAGAATCCAGCAGCAGACACCTATCAGCTCCCTTTCAAAATAGGTGCCCTGTTTAAGTTAATGATTTTATGACTTCTTCTACCCAGGACACCCACAATAGAAAAGCAAAGGATAACTAAGAAAATAGTTAATTAATTGGCTTCTGCCAAAGCAAATACAGTGTTCTGAACCAGCACTTTTCACCTTTTAATTCTGCAGCACAACCCATCATTCCCCAACCCCAATGTTCAGCACATACTAGTGATGGACTGCTGAGGAGCTACAGGTGTATTTTCTCCTGCTCTTGTTGTAAACCTTCAGTGTGCAGCAACTACTCTTCCACTGGCTTAAAGTGTGCTGTAATTCTGCCATCACTGAAAAATAGTTTGATTACCAGATGTCATATAATTTTATGCAGTCACAGTGGCCCTGGAGCAACACTCCCCTACTTCCTTCCCTTTTGGTGGGACATTTTCAAGAATCTAATGTAAGGAAGCAGCACAGTTCAGTAGCATAACCTACAGCAGTAGAGTGCTTGGCTACATGAGTAACAGGAAAGAGGTTTAGATATGACTGAACAAATTTAGATATGACTGAGCAAAAAGGAGATCAGAAATTACTTCTCTAGAGTTTGAGTGCCACAGAAAGACACATGAACACCTTCTTTAAGCTTTATGCTGTGCAGCCCTACTCCCTGCACTCTGGTGCTGCTGAAGATGTCCAACTGAATTTGCTCTTAAGCAAGGGTTTAAGCCTGGCAATTATCAAAATCTCAGGCTCTAATCCTAGAAAGCACTTAAAGCACGTTATCCCACATTTTGTACAGTTCATGTCTACTTTGAAAAGCTCAGAAAAACAAAGAAATCCATGTTTTTCTCCCTTAAATAGGAAAGTAGCATGCAAACAGCTGCTTATACTACCTTTAACCAGGGGTGATTCAGTGCTTCATACACTGTTATCCTCTCTGCTGGATCCAGCATAAGCATGCGGCGCACCAGATCTTTGGCACTTTCAGAAATATGGCTCCATTGCCTAGGATTCATCTGATTATGAGCAAGAAAGAAAAATTAAATTAGTAGTAATAAGAATGGAGAAAAGAACCTAGTGTTTATCTGCAATAATTACAGAGATTTAACAGTGGTTGGTGCTTGCAAACATTTCCATGTAATGAACGTAAAAGGAAATTTCTAAGGGTTTTAATAACTTGTAAAAATGGAACACTAGGTGCTACGGAAAAGGCACAAAAATTGAAAACATAAACCCTGACACGTCCTTAGTATTATGTATAATCACAGTTTAATTTCTACCTGCTCTACATTCTGCTCAGATAAAACTGACCATTCACTAGACAAAGCAAAAAATAATTAAGCTCTGTTTAATGATGCATATGATAAATGCACATTAAATTAAATCTATCCCTGAAATGAATATGTGGCAAGAGAATTTATCTGTTTCAACCCAAAATTTCATGCCAGTGATTCTGGGTAAGAAGGGAGTAAAAGAATGCCTGTTGTGAACTTCTCTGGTGCTGAAGGTGCTATGGACAATGGTTTTTCCCAATAAATTCCTTTCAACTTCACAACAGGTCAAGTTTCTCCACCAGGAAAAGGAAAATGTCCTTTTCCTTCCTTTCCACAGGAAAGCATAAAAGGACAAGGCAATACCAGCAATTGTAACACTTTCAGAGCAGAACTTTATCTTTAGGAGATACAATGTGAAGGATGATTTAGAATATAGTTCCATTTTGTGGATATACACAGGTTTGTGCCCAACCAGTCAAAATGATGGACACCTGATAAAACCATACCAAAGTAAGAAAATTCCTTATCTTTAAGGTATTTCTAGTATTTTTTAAAATTATGAAGAAGCTATGTTTTATTTAGATGATAGAAAGCTAATTTTACAAAGTACTAAATGCAAATTCAAAATTATGACCAGACTCTTTTCAATGTTACAATCTGGTTATTTAAAGAGATCCATTTTATTTAAAATTGGTCTTTATAAAAAATGGTAAAGACTAAATGAATTGGGGCACTCAGCAATGTTATCTGGCTATGAAATGCACACTTATAGCTGTGACTTAATTTATTTTTCAGCTCTAATGAAATGAAGTGAATTGCAAATTTGACAGGATTTTCACTGAACAGACAAATTACTGTGGAAACAGGAACAGAAAAGGAACTAAGGGGACACAATGTACTGGTTGTAACTTTTTTTTTAAAAAAGAGAAGTTAACTTGTTAAGAGATTCCATAAAGAAATCTTCCTTAAAGTGAAATCTTCCATAAAGTATCAGTCTGTGCAATCTCAAAACTAGTGCCATGAAGAAACGCTGCTGTTTCTAGGATTGTAAAATTTAAGAAATGAAATATGTGCTCCTGACCAAGAACAGTAACACTGTTGTCTATCACATTTTAGCAGGCTGTTAAGGTGATATAATAAATCAGACTATCAGACAGCTTTGGGAGTTTCCATTTGCAATTTGCTAATGCACAGCTCATGTATGACCTTGGTTCCAAAGCACAGCAAAGCTGATCTTAGGCAAACCCACAGAAACAGTGAAGTTGCAGCTTTAAATTTGTCTCCACAATGGTCTGCGGGCTGATGCTGTGACAGCTTCTCTTGTGTGCACTGACCTGCCCTTGGTTGTGAGTGGCTCCTGTGAATCATCAGCTGCACTTGACTGCACACTGTACTAAGAAGAAAAATGCCAGCCTGCATTTGTAAAATAACATGAATTTTGTTTTAAATTGAGGCAGTATGATGATGATGATGAATGCTTATGACAACTCTATTAGTTGAGCAAAAATATTAAATGTCTAATAAATCTGAGGATACAGTATGTTCTAATTCACAGCTAAACCTCTTGTCTTCCTGCTGGGCTCAATGTACAGCCAGGGGCTGGTTGTAACACCCATTTATTATTTCATCTGAGCAAATATTTCCATATTCTAATTCCTAACAATGATACAAAACACAAGACAGACCAGGGAGGAGAAAATCATCTCTCTTCCTGTGCATCAGATATCCATAAGCTTTAAATTCATATCAGAATAAATACAAACATCAACTTTCAGAAATGTTACCAACAGAGCTCACCTCACAGGAAAAGGATTCATGTATGCTGTCATTTACCTTGTATTTGCCTTTAATAATGCCTTCAAATAATCTTTCCTTGGTTCCATAAAAAGGCAAACAACCACTTAGCAGGATAAACAGGATCACACCACAACCCCAAACATCTACAGGCTTCCCATATGGTTCTCTTTTTACCACTTCTGGAGCCATAAAGTGAGGTGTTCCTACACGTCCTAAATGGAAATAAAAAGAAAATTGAGTCAAAGTGATGTGTGTCAAACATGGAAATGAAGAATATCACTGCATTAAACAAAACCAGTTTTAATACATTTTGTTCATGGTTTAAAGCTTTTAACACAATTCTTTTTACCTTAAGTTTATATTTATATATATATGTAGTGAGATAAATCAGCATTTTCCCTTTTCCTTAATTTTTACTTTTATAAATTGAGGAATAGTCTACCCAACCTGGCAGAATGTGGAACATGATTTTAAGAGCACTGGGACTCTTCAGTCAAACTTGCCATATAAAAGTAAACCCATCAGTTTGCACAATGTTTGAAACAGGAATTATTTAGAGAGCAAATACAAAGATACTGTAGAGCTCTAGCCACACTGATAACTTGAAAAAGCTGCATCTACTTGGCAAGAGCAGGGTTTAGTCTGATGCTCTGCCCATACCTTGGCTGGTCTACTGAAACTGCCAGCAAAAATGCAAAATGCCAGCAACTGTGTTATTCATTTATTTGAAGAGGGCATTATCTTACTGGAGATGAAAAGATAATGCTAATTTGTTTCACAAAGTGCTTTCATTGAGTGTAATTAATGTTTTCCTATGAAAATAGAATTTATTTAGTACCAACTGATCTTTTGAGCAGATAAAACTGATTAGAATAACTTCATTCAATTTCTATATAACACATTAAGCCAAATAAAAGCAATGAACATTTTACCTCTCCTTATAAACGTTTCCCATTGTAAAGAATTTTGTTTCCATTGCAAAAATTAAGCTTGGAATGCTCAGGTTCTCACTGACACTTATAAACATTGTAGTCTTTGGACTACCCTGGTTCCACCAAGTACCAACAGAAGAAAAAGAACATCAGTGTGCAAACTTTCACCACTAATACCTCCTTCATAAATTATTGCTGCTTACTACAGTGGATTTCAGAGGCTCCATTGCAGGCCTGCAGCACCTGCTGGTGAGGAGAGCCTAAAATGCAGCCCAGAGGATCCAAGGTGTTTGCAGGGCACATATTTAACTCAGTCTTGTCTTTGTAAAGAGACTCCTGCTTGATTAACCAGTCCTGCTCACCCTCTGCATGGGAGTCAGCTAAGTCACAGCACTCAGAACAAACACCTGGGGGACCATTTGGACGTGGCTTCCTCAGTAAAGACCATCCTTTGGTTATCCCACCTAATCCAGGAATATGATCTGACATGTTATTTTAATTAATCCTTTTTTGCACTGAAAGGATTAAAATATTGTCAGAAAGCCAGCAGCTTTTCAACCATACTCTTCAGAAAAAACACCACCATTGTCAAACTTCTTCACATGGCTTTCTATTAAACCGTTTCAACCCCAGTTTATCAGGGAATTCCCCTGCCAAACAAATGCTAGGGATCTGTCTGTGACAAAGGGATGTTACCTCATCACTAGGCTAGGCTGCATCTTAAAAAGTCCCTGTAGCCCAGGCTGACCTGACAGCAAAGGGGAAGCTCCTTCCTGAGCTAAAAAAGAATAAACCACCAAGATGCAACAAGTCCAGCATCATCCTTCATATCACAGGGGAGGGAGGAGGAAGGATATTTAGTCTGGACAGAGAAAGAGATGCACATGGGGAAAGATGACTCATTCTTCTTGTGGGATGTACACACTTTGTAGATGTATGGCATAATTTCAGCCTGAGAAACCTCAAAGCCAAATCTCCAAGATAACATATATGAGGTACAGAATGATCTCCTTAAATGACTCTCTCTCTTTTAGATGCCTGGTGGCAAGGAAGACAAAAAAAAAGGGAAATCATAAACACTCATCCAGTATGCATAACTTGCTGTGATTTTTTTTTTGCCTTTTTTATTTGACTAAAGATTTATATATATAAAGTTTCATCTTTTTTTCCCCCTTTGGATGCCATCATTGGTGACAGGAAAAGCATCAACATTTCCAGCTCTGCAGCAGGTTATGCCTGTGCATAAGCAGTAACACCTGCCTGTTCAAAGAGCATTTTTCTATCCCTGAAACTGCTCACGTGATCTTCGTGGTGTACCTACCATAGACTGGAAACCTCTAACTCAGGAGATCATCAGAGACCACAGAGCAGACTGGCTTACCCAAGTCTTATTTGTTCTGAGTGAGAACTTCCTGAGACTTGGGTGCAAAGGAACCTATTTGCAATTTTGGACTAGGTGTAACCTTTCTTGCTCGTTGAAAAAAAAAAAAATCTTTTGTGGTACTAAAGCAAACTTAAATATTTTTCATCAATACAAATGGAAAATAGTATATTCTGTGAAAATTCTACCTTCGCATCATACTTTATAATAGCTGTTATAAAATCTGACAAGTGTTGAAAAGAGGGATTACTCCAAAGACAAACAGGAGAAATCACCAGAAGACAAAATATCACATGGGGTAACAAGCTACTTAAAAGAGGCATTAAGGTACAGTTGTTTGAATAAAGTAGCTAATGAAATAATGAACCTTTCAAATTATATCTAAGTTGAGTTAATGTGTATTTTCAACAATTATGTACACCCCTCTCAGCTCAGGAACTTTCTGTGGTTTCAGTAAGAAATTGCAGAGGTGAACATGATACAAAAAAGACTGTGTGCTGTAAGAACACTTAAAGGTTTTGGGTTTTGGCTTTGGGTTTTTTTGGTCAAGGCACTTAAGTCTGCTGTGCATTTCGGTGAAGGGTAACCTACAGAACATCTTGTGTCCATGCAAACAATTACATTTTCTCCTGGTGTAAATAGTGCATTTAGCAGCAACACATGCTATAAAAGCAATCCAATAGCATGATGAAGTGCAGGAATTTAGGTGTCAAGGTGCTGGCGCTGGGACTGCAGGGGTGGTCTCTGTCAGGAGGGGCTGGAGCTGCCCCATGCCAGACACAGACAGTTCCAATGGGATCACTGCAGGACACAGCTCAGCCCAGCAGTCAGGACAGTGGTGTTGCAGGGAAAGTGTGTGCAAGAAAGGGAAAAAAACCTGCCCAGCAAGTGAGTATTTTGGGAACTGCCATTCCCATCCTCCCTGAACCACCTGGGGCTGGGTAGTGCATTAGGAGTAGGGGGGTGAAGCTGAACCTGGGAAGGTGAGGAGAGGAGGTGGTTTAATTTTTGTCTTTGCTTCCCACTATCCAAATCTATTTGATACTTCAAAGCTCCTATTTTGCTTCATCTGGTGACATCAGAATGTGAGGCTGCACCTTCACTTAGTGCTCAAGTGCTCTTACAAACAGACAAGTGATGGTCAAAAACCAGTCCCACTCTGATCATCACACAACTTCTTTCTGGTCCCCTGGAAGTCAGGAGGTGTTTCTTCCATCACAGGAAGAAGAACTTGATCTTTGTTGGCCTGGTCCAAACCCAGGACACAGTAAAAATCCACTCTGATGAACTGCTTGTTATGGAGCAGAAGGAATAGAGTGGTTTAGTAAAAGGAAACACTACACAGCTGTTTAAGTCCCCACCAGGCTGCTGCCAGATGAAAAATGGATGGTACTTAAAAGCAAACTGAAAAATCAAGTGCTACTAAACCCCAATACTTTTAAATTTAAAATGAGAACTCCATAAATACAAAATAAGTGAAAAAGAAAACTAGGCTAGGTTAATGAAATCCTGTCATTTACTACTGCTAGATTAATAATTAGTGGAAACAGAGACAGATTTGGTTTTGTTAATGCTGATTACAAGATCCCAATACTTTAGATGAGGTGGATATTTATGGTGGTGAAAATCACAATTTTATGTCCATGAAAAAGCAAACCCAGAAGAGGCAGAAATGTGACTGGTTGAGATTGAACTGTCCAGTCAAACAGAATAAAAAAATGCATATATATGTGTACATATGTATTGGGATCTTAAAAAGGCTATAGTAGCTTCTGAGCAAGCTGTTACCCTTGTGACCACTCCACTGGATTCATCAAAGGAGCAAATGATGATTTTGAATTTATTCTAAAAACTGACCTGAACAAGGACTATTGAGCTGCACCTTTGAACTGAACTTAGCTCAGGAAAATGAACAAAGTGCACACATGAACACAGATGGAAAATTTTCCTATGTCAAAACTACAAACACAATCAATAGACAGCAAAGTTATCTAAAATCATGAATATTCACTGCTCTTTAGATCCAATATCACTTCTGCTGAAAATTATTTAGTAGAAAATCTGCCTTCTAAATATGTCCAGTGTAAAATTTAATTCTTCACAACAGCTCAGTTATAAAATCTTTTATAAATTTTCGAATTTTCTTTGGTATTCTGGGAGAAAGTCTGCACCTTTTTGGAGGCAGTTTGAAAAAGAACAATAAGCAAAGGCACTTTTCTCTGAAACACATAACTTCTGCCTTCCACAGGCTTTTTATTCTTTAGATTATAAACACACTCATGGATATATTCAAATGACTGTGCACGAAAAACCAACATTTTAACTTAATACAGATTGCATGCATGCACACAGAGAGGATTTTTAGTTGTATCCATATATGAGAAGAAATCATATGGAAGATTGGAATCAGATTTCTGTCTGTGTGCACTTAGGTTCTTCTTTTCTGTTCTAGAGTGGCATTAACTGAAAATCATCACTATACAAAGACTCAGCAGTGGCATGTAGTGATACCTGCCTCCATCCATTTCACTGTAAATGCCAACATCAAAGTGTTTGCTGAGTTAGGAAGCACTCAGTGCCTGGACAGGTACATCCAGGTTACACTGGATATCTTATTTCTAGAGGTAAACTTTCCTACCAGCCAGTTTTTAAGGCATGTTGGCTGCCTGTAAATTTATAAAGCTGCTAGTTTTGCTGATTTTTCCTGTGGATAAACAGAGAGCTTCAGTCTTCAGGTGCTGTCAATCTGACATCATTTACAAGCACTAAAGATAAATTTTGACTTACCTTTGGTAATTTAGTTTTTATGACTCTTTCCATATTATTCCAGACAATAGGGCTATGCTTTCCACAAGAAGAAGAGTATATACAGAGACCCAATCAGATTTTGTCATCCCTAAGGCAGGGGATTGATGACCAAGATATCAGAAGGAGAGTCTTTCAACAGCAGTAGTATCTGAACGATGTATAAGGAAACAACTGGAACAAATAATTTTTAGGAAAAAAAAATGTGAGGTACTAATAAACATCACCATCTGACCTCTCACAATAGTGTAATAAGAAATATGATCACAAATCAAGGTGTTTCTAAAAGAGTGGGATGTCCAGAATAATGTGGAAGGAATCAAAGAATCACACACAACAGATCAGGTAGGGCAGTACTTTACTACTATTAATTCCTTTCCACATTACTCCAGACAATAGAGATGTTTAAAGCAGGTCTACAGAGAAGATGAGTAGATTAAAAAAAAAAAAAAAAAAAAAAAAAAGGGGCAGAAAAAGGGGCAATTTAGCTTCAGCACAGAAGATTGTCTGAAGAAAATGTGTTTAAAAGATACATCAGCAGACAACTGGACCACTGGATGTGAGTGTCCAGAAAACAAACAAAGCAAAGCTCACATGTTAACGAGACAAATTATAATTAATTCAATGGCCTTTTCTGCCATAAAACTATGATGGAGGAAGTAAACCTAAATGATTTCTCAACACATTAGCCTCCTATAAACACTCTCAAATCAGCCCAGATGTGAAGTGGAATTTCTGTGAGACAGTAAACCACAGCTGTATCTTTTAAATAAAATGAAGTCCCTTAAAGGCAAAGCTGTGAAGAGACTCACATTTTTTTATTTTTCAGGAAAAAAAAGAAGTGAAAACACTACCCTGTAAGAGAAAGAAGAATAGTAGTGTAGGATCTCAGCTTACAAAATTTTACTTCTCTTTGGAAAACAAATGAAAGCTTTGAAATACCAATCAGACACTGATGATGAAAAGGAAAAAGCATCTGTGTAGTCTAAAAATGTCCTCCAACATTAAAACAAACAAAAAATGTTTTCTAACCTGGCATTTATAAAACCACCAAGATTCAGTTTGGGGATGCACTGGAGATGTTGCCCAGAGAGGGGACAGATGCTCCACCCCTGGAGACATTCAAGATCAGGTTGCTCTGAGCAACCTCATCTAGTGGAAGATGTTCTGCTCCTAGCAGGGGATTGGACTGGATGAGCTTTAAAGGTCCCTTTTCAACCCAACCATTCTATGATAATTTTTACATTGATGAGAACAAAACAAAAAGTAAGGAACTCTAAAAAATTCTGCCCCTCTTCCCCCCATATTACAGTCTTAATTAGAGGGAAATTTATGGCAATGCCTTCCTTTGCTGTTTTTGTACTAAGTCTGAAAACACAGTTCACAAGGAACTAAAAGCATTTAGTATTTATGTGCTGTACTGCTACTAAGAACACATAAGATGTCTTCTAATAAGATGATAATTTACATTAGGATACTACAGGATTCTGAGGCAGCCTAGGGCGTATAACTAATAATATATGAAAATTAATACTGGACTGGATTAGCATTATGGTATCTGTGACATTTTGCTGCTGAAGATAAAATGTGAAAGGCAGTTAACTCTCCCCAGATAAAGAACCTCATCATACTTAGGTCTATACAGTTGTCTTTGCACTAGTTGAAACCAGGAGAAATTAAGTAGATTAAGTGAAGGAAATATCAATTGTGAACTCAATGCTTTTTGTTCCTTCAGACTTTTATACCATATATTAGCTAAAACTCCCAAGATGTAGCACCTAAGATATTTGACACCAGATAAATCTGATGTCACATTTAAGAAAATACGGTGACAATTCATACTATGGTCTGCAAGAAAAACTCTTCAAGAAAGGAGACAAATTATAATGTGAGATTAGTCTGTTAAATCACTGACTTCCCAGAGGTTCTACTACTCCAGCTGCATCATAACAATGCAACACAGACTGTTACTGTCTTATGGAACTGCTCTGTTCCTTAAAGGAATTCACTTATAAATGATGATGATCTCTAACTCCTGTGAATACTGCCAGAGTTCCTTTATAAAGTTCCTATTTCAAGGCTTCAAGTGAAACCTGTAGCACAATTTTCCACTTCTGATCATGAGAACTGAAGCAAAAAGAGACCTTCAGAGATTGGTAGCTCATGAAACCTACTTCCTCTAGCTCAGATGATAACACATGATTCTTAGCCACTTATTGCAGCTTACAGCCAAATGGAGTGGAACAAAGAATATTTCCTTACACTTTCCCCTCTGGCCTTATGAAGAAATGAGTTATAGCTATGTATTTTTTTTTTTTTGTACTTTATTTTACTTACATTAAGTAAATAATAACTAATAATTGAAATTTCTTAAAAATAATGTCAACTGAGTTGTTAGCTGATAAAATACAGTCACTCCTAAAATCTCCTCCATACACATTTTCATCAATGACATCTAGTATGATGTCACAGCTTGTTCTCATGATCTCTCTTACACTTCTGTAAAACAGCCATTTACCTGCTTAAAAGAAAGAACCTTGTAGTTACAATCCTTCTGAACTTCACAAGTCTGTCTTCGAACCTACTTCAGAACATTTTAATACCTGGGGTTTAATTTAACTTCACTACAAAAATCCTTCCTCAGCAATTTATGCACACTCTGATAAAGATGCCTTTGTCAAGTCAAAAAATGTTACAGTCCTGAGCAAAGCAAAAGCTCTAAGCTTGAAGGCTGGCTTCAAACACACTGAGGAAGAAAATTCCCTTTTAGTTTGTCTTCTGGGGCTACACAGAATCTGGGATTGCAAGGCACAGGTGTACAGAAGTAGGAAAAACAGCACAAACAAAGCACAGGGAACTTCAGGTCAGTAAAATTAACTTGATAATAGATAGATTTTATTTAATAGAGAATGTCTTTTTTTATGTACTAACCACCAAACTGCCATGCTAAAAGGGAAATGATGCCATGCTAAAAGGGAAAGAATTGACTATGTCAAGAGAATCAATGTTTTCCACTAAAAATTAGAAAAGCAATGTGAAAGTGAACAAGTTGGTTATGATGCTGCTCCAACTTCTCTATTTGGACAGTTTCTACTTTTTTGTTATGAAACAATTGAGAAATAAGAAGTGCCTGTAAATTATTGTTACTATCATGACAGAACTTATCCATAGGAATAACACCTTTAAACAAATGTGTAGATAAACACTGATTTATAAGAAACTTACAGTCCAGTTCAAACAGCCAGCTTTCATATAACACGTGTTACACTGTAAAACTGAATGTGTAAGACCTTGTCAGTTCTGTGTAGGGAACTTCTAGTAATTTGCCTTCAGGTAGGGTTTTGGCAGAAAAAAGAAGTGCCAGATAACATAGCTTTAAAGCCCAGTTTGGGGTTAAAAGACTGGAATGGAAGATGAGAAGAGAGGAATCTGTTAAGGAGACTTTCCACAGTATATCAATGAAGTGGAATTACATTGGGTATCCCTGAAAATGAGTGGAATTTGAAGCTGAAAGCAACAAGTGCCAATGAAAAGGCTGCAAACTGGAGATGCCAGTTGAGAAAAAGGGGGAAAAAAGTGTGTGAAGCCAGACCAATATGGCAGAAGTTGAGATGGAATAAGCAAAAGATACTGACAAGTATCACAGTGATGAGGTTTGAGATCTTCTGTAAGATCTACAAAGAGAATCCCCAGCACTGATCACTGCTGAAGGCTGAGCACAGGAACAGTGAGTGGGATCACAGCACTGGGAACAGTAACACAAAAGGAAGGCCATGGCAAAATTTGGGAAAAATGCAGTATTTTTTTTTTTTTTTTCCAAAGTTGAACTTGAATGTTTCTTGCTAGACAATTGGTAGTCTGAAAGTACACTGCATCTGACTACCTCCAGAAGAGTGGCTGAAACAGAAGAAGCGGGTAAAGTTGCTCAGCAGAACATAAATAACAAAAATGAGATCATTATAAACAAAAGTGTAGAAACTACCACTAAAAAAAAGCCGTGACTAAGGTATAGATAATTTGAGTAACACAAGAAAAGTAAAGAAAGCAATGACTTTTACTACAGATTAACTGAATGGGTATTTTCTTGGAAAAGATGCCCCTATTTAACAAGATACTTGGATATTTTCATGGTATCAGCAATATCTGTAAGGAAAGGGAAGCTGTTGATATGTTTATATTTTATTTGCTTTTTATTTTAAAAAACGTACAAAACTCAAATCGACACAGAACATTAAGTTATTAAATTAGGAAATCTGAGATTTTGAAGATGCATGGTACTGAAGAAAGTCACTAATTCTGAAGAAAAAAATATTAAAACTAACAAAATGTTTTGTTGTGATCTCCTACTCTGGCAATGAAAGCATCAGAAAATTGATTGGGTCTTCATCTGTGCAGGCTGATTAAAGCATAACCCTATTGTCTGGAACAATATGGAAGGCAGCTAGAGGAAATAAAATCCACAGAAAACAAAACACAGTCAAAAAATATATATACGTATCAAGATATTGATGTCTTATGCAATAATTACAATGAAATTTCAAAACACAGAAAAGAATCACATGTGAAAACCAGTAAGATTTTGCTATTAAATAGCACAGGATTCCGACAGGAATTGCTTATCAAACAGGGGAGCAGTGACAATGCTGCACTAAGTCCTTACTCAAGTGCTTCAATGACTGCATTTTTATTTTCTTTGCTTTACCAAGCATGGCAGAATTAAGCCAAAGCTCGTATTAAAGTGGAAAATTCTTTGGGTTTTTCCAGTTTTATTTTGACCCAACCAGCATGAGTTCCTGTCAAGTAACATTTAAAGGGATTTAATGCTCAATGTGTGAATGCAGGTTGCAGTCCACTGCCAGTTTTGCTTGGCTGTGTGCATTTACCATGTTAACTGTGTCTTTAGTGAAAGATTATTTTTGAGCTCTTGTTTTGCAGGCCAGGCTGTGTCAGAAGAACAGAACTCTGCAGTACAACATGCACAGTATTAAATAACTTAGAAGGAAAATTTCTTACCTCCAGCAACTAGCCCAGACTCTCCTAACTGAATTGCTACCCCAAAGCCACCAAGCTTTACTGGGGCTGAATTCTCTTTTGAGGCAAGCAGTACACAGTGTGGCTGAAAAGACAAAAATCCAGATGAATTATTACATTGCTTGAGAAAAACAATCTGTATTTTAGAACTTACTTTCATAAATCTGTAAGCAGAGGTTAGATTTTGTTTTTTTAAAAATAATTTCTTAATTTCAGTTATCTCCTTTTCTGGCATGGACTCCTCTTTCTACATTGGCTTCCCATCTACTGCCCCAGGCATAACAAAATCCCTTCAGAACCTACCAGAACTACTAAGGAAAACAAAGTGAAATCATGATAAAATGGAGATAAAAAACTCTCATCTATAATTTCTTACCTGGTATCACTTTTCCTTTTTGTCTTTCACCCTATTAACCCTTACACTGTTTCAATTCCCCAGCTGAAATATCCTGCTTATTATATGTTTTGTGGGGTCTTATCCTTCCCACAGAGAACATAAAACTCTCTTTTGAGCCTTAATCACAGAATTCACTCTGCACTTCTCAAGTGCAGGAAAGAAAAGCAACACCCTGGGACATTCCAGTGAGGGATATTCTCATATCCAGTGAGGTTTAGAGGTGTCTAAACTGGATTCCAGCCATAGCCATCTATACACTTCATTTTCCACAAATAAGAGTGAGGTGTCACGAGTAAAAATGAAATAGTATTATACAATAATTCAGATGGGTAGTGACTGCTGTAGGAGAAAGCAACACACGGACAAAATCTATTAGAACACAATTTGGTATTAAATACACGTACCCAAACAACTGCATTTAATTTAGAACTTCCTGCATTTGCTAAAAGCCTCTCTTTTCAACACCATATTATTTAAAATGAAGAACCTCAAATTTGTATACTACTTCCTGAGAATACATTACTGCTTAAATTGCAAAACTAAGAACTCAAAAGATTACACAGGAGCTACCAGAAGTTCAAAGTGACTACTTGTAAAGTCACCATCTCTAGCCACCCATGTCTTTTTGTAAAAGTTTAAATTATATGAGAACAAATATCTTCAAAACAATGTTCTTGAGATCTTCATTAAATTTAGACCTTGTCATATCAGGTCTTCTAGAATCTACTCTTAAGTTTCTAATTCATAAATGTAATTTTCAATTCCTATGGCTCACTTGGAAGAGTATTACCAGGTGGTATTATTGCTGCATATTGTATTTCACTTCTGCCTTACTGAAATGGCTAAGATGCACACTTAAGGCACTTTCACATCCTCTCATCACTGTCATTTGGAGTGAGAAAGAAGAACAGTTCTAATCCCAGGCAAGGAGAAAGGTAGATGGGAGAACTATATAAACATTTACAAAATGTCCCATTCCACGGCGGTGCTGATTTATCTTTACCCTCTACTGGAAAAAAGTGACACTAATTCCAGGAAGCATTAAAGAGATGATAAACTGTACCAACATCACTATCACCCAAAAAACCACTGGCACTGCCCACCAGAAACAAAGCATTTGAGAAAAACACTTCAAATCTCCAATCCAGTGCAAAATTGAGAAAAAAAAAATTCAAAAACCCCCAACAAAACCCAAAAGAACCGGGGAAGGCCAAGTAAAAAAGCCCTTAAAAAAAACAATGCAAACCAGTTGCAACATCAGTTAAAACTTCCCCCTGTTGCCAATTGCACGAGTCAGCTGGAGCTCACTGCTTTCAGAGAGAAGCTGCTGCTGCAGCTTTCTAATAAAAGGACCTGCACGTTTCTCCTCCCTGTCTTTACCAGTGGATTTGAGAACCAGCAGAACTTCTTAACACCTAAATGGTAAGTGACTTCTTTTATACTTCAGCTGTAGTTTTCTTAATTGCAGAGATGTTGCTGACCTCCAAATCCTTTGCTAAGTATACCTGGATTTAAGCACATCTGCTTGCTTAGAGGTGACACAACTTATGACAGCAAGAAGTTTTGTTCCCGATCCCTTTGCAGCGTAACCCAAGTTTCTCTCTCATCGATCTAAACTTCCTTATGCAAGTCTCCATATGAAACAATTTCATAGAAAAGCAACCTAAACATGAAGTCTTTGCAGTAGATGAGTTTCAACATGTATTTAAAAACACTGCAGTTTGAAATCAATCTCTTGAAATTACTTGCCCTGCAATATCATGTGGCAAGTATGAGAACAGCTGGTTTTGAAACTGCTAACATACCCTACCAGTTTAATGTAATTGTAGGGTAAAACAACACAGGATGTTAAAATGTTTTAGACTCTCCTCTCAAGAATTCAGATTCTGTAAGTACGTTAGCTCTTCTTAAGAATTTTGCCTAAAGTGTTGTCATTTTCAGTGCTGCGGCTGCACCACAGAATTAAATATAAATTTGTATTTTTTAAGACCTAGAATGAAAATTGCATGGCCTAGACACAGACCTAGCATAAAAGTTATTTTAAGATTACATATACAGCAGTGGTTTTTTGTTTGTTTTTTTTCCGTAACAACTAAATTCAGAGTGTCAAAACCACTTCTGAAAATTCTGTGAGATTATGGGAAAAAACCTCTTTCCTCTGTAAAACAAAAATATACTAAATAAACTTTTTAATGGCATTTCTTCTTGCTATGACAAACAAGTTGAAGACTGAAGTTTTATCATTAGTTATCAGCAATAAACATCACTGCCTTCACGTGACTGCTCTCCAAACCACACACTTCTGGTTTTCCTTCACTGGTCAAGGCTGATTTTATCTTTCACATTGTACCTTCCTGGTCAGCAATGAGCTTAGTGAAATTAAAAACTATTTCATGAATGCAAAGAAAACCATGAAAACAAGAAAGGTTTGAAAACAGCCTGTTACTGCATTATTGTGATTTCCAGCTAATAGTAGATTGTGTACTACTGATTTGTGAACAGCCAAGAAAAGGAAAAACCACATTTATGTGAAGGTACAGATTATTAAAAACAAGCTACTGCAATAATACTGTCTCACAGAGTTACTTATAACACAGTACATAGCCAAGTAAATATTATTAATTGATGAGTGCTTTTGTAATTGAGAGCCAGTGAGTGGCATGTGAGAGATCTGAATTATTTAAAATTAACACAGATGAGTTTAGACGTCCTTTAATATAGTTCTATGTACTTTGTGTCAACACTGAGAATACTTAGTTATGCTTACTGTACCATTAAAATTTTTTCTGTGCTAGAAATTCTGGTCCTAAGAAGTGAACTTTAAAAAATTATTTATTCTTATAGATAAAGAAAATTCTTAAGTTTGCAGCAAAATGTAATAGTTGACTTTTAAAACAACACAAAACAGTAATAACGCTGTAATTACAGAAATATTTATCTATGAATACTCTACACTATCTGTTCTTTCTTGCCTGCAGATTACATAGACTTATATTATTTTATGATATCTGGCTGAAACTCTTTCTGTTCAGCTACAGCAATACTTGGTGCATTTATTCCTTTTAGCTACTGCCTTTTATGTTTATACCACATTAGACTGTTAGGCTATAAAGCAAACAGACACTTGAATGGAGAGTTAATTCTTAAAATCTCTTTGTCTTTTTGCAGAACAGCTAAAACCCCTTTGCAAATGATGGCTGCAACTTCAGCTGATTTATCAACCATTGGTCCACACAAGGAAGAATTCTGGAGTAACCAAACCAACCTGACCATAGATGCCTCAGAAAGTCACAATGATGCCAGCTGTTCCTTGGATGACAACAACTCACTGTCACTTGCTTTGATAGCTTTTTACTCTATTATTTTTGTAGTTGGATTGGTTGGAAATATCATAGCCCTGTTTGCTTTCCTGGGCATTAATCAGAAGAGGAATTCTATCCAAGTTTACTTGCTAAACGTAGCTGTTGCAGACCTCCTGCTCATCTTCTGTCTTCCCTTTCGGATACTCTACCATGCCACCAACCGCTGGATGTTTGGGCGGATTTTTTGCAAGGTTGTGGGAACTCTGTTTTACATGAACATGTACATTAGCATAGTACTGTTGGGATTAATTAGTCTGGATCGTTATATAAAAATCACTAAGTCTGTGAAGCGTCCAAAGATGCTAAGCACTACCCGGAGTGTGCAGATCTGTTGCACGGTGTGGGCGATTGCGCTGACAGGATTTATAGTGGTAGTTGCACCATCTTTCTTTAAGACTAAGGACAGCAACTCCACCAAGTGCTTCCATTACCGAACCAAACAGAATGCAGAGAAGACAGAAGCAATTTTAAATTATATCACTGTACTGATTTTCTGGATAGTTTTTTTCCTTTTGATACTTTCGTATGTTAAAATTGCCAAGAACCTTCTGAAAATTTCGAGGAAAAGGGCAAATTTTCCCAATGCAGGAAAATACACCAAGACAGCAAGAAATTCCTTCATTGTTCTCATAATTTTCACAGTCTGTTTTGTGCCTTATCACATATTCCGGGTTGTCTACATCACATCACAGTTACAAACCCCATCCTGTTATTGGATGGAGATCATTCACACGTGCAATGAGGTGATGCTCATATTTTCATCATTTAACAGCTGCCTAGACCCAGTTATGTATTTCCTAATGTCCAGAAGTGTCCGTAAAACTGTATTCCAACTGATTTGCAGAAAACTTCATGGAGAGTCAAGCCTAAACCTGGAGAGCACTTCAGACATAAAACTTGGCCAATACACTCCAGAGCGATTATCTACCACCACTCCTCACTCCAGCTACTCAAGGAAGAAGTCTATGATTTGAATGTTTAAATGGATCTCTGTCACTCTGGGTCACCAATTTCAGATCAAAAAATCCTCTACTCTACAGCTACTAATCCTGCCTCTTTCCTCCTGTTAAGAAAAATGAGAAGTCTTACTTCTGTTTGTGAAAATGAGAAGTTACTTTTCAGAAGAATTTTTTTGCTCTTGTTTATCTAAGAACATAAATTAGGAAGTTCTCAGACATTTTGTGTTGGACTAAACTAGAACACTAACCCTTTAGGGAGATTTTCACAAAGGGGTTTGAACCTGTAAACTTGTATATACACATTAATATTAGTTGCTTGTGTACGTAAATAATAGATTCCTTTTGCAAAAAGTAAATCCTGTCCTAT